TGCAAAACACCGGCGGGTCCTGGGCAGGACGGCGCGGAGAAGCGTGACTCAGTGAAAGGCTGGAGAACTGGGACAAGGAGGAGGTGGCAGCGGTGACTCAGTCCTCCCTCACCCACTCACCTCCCCGTGCTCCTGGTCTTTGGGTGCTGGAGCCACATCCCCGAGGGGAGCAGGATCCATCCGGGATGCTCAGAGGATGCAGTTCAGCACCCGACACGACAGTTTTAGAGGATTTCTCGTGCGTTACAAAACGTGTTTCAACACGATGAGGAAACGAGTTCCTCTGTGCTCCCTCATAATTACAGCGGATAAGGATCTCCCTGTCACAACACCACAGCCGGGTGCGTTAAAGGGGTTTGGGGTCCAGGCAGGAGGGGGGGTTTAGCATCAAAACTGCTCTTATCCAGGGAAAAGCCACTCTAGGGGATCTGCTGTTCCCCAGCCCCAAGTCCCCTCAGCTGCCAGCGCTCATCCCAGCCTTCAGAGTTACCTGGTAGTGTCACAGCGAGGGGAAAATAACTCTGGGTGCTTGTGTGTCACCCAGGCTGGGAAGGAAGTGAAGGTAAAAAAAAAGGATCCTCTGACTGATTTTTTTTCCCCTTTTCTTTGTTTTGAGCGTGTCCAGCTTCATGTGGTAGAAGCTGTCAGGGGAGTATGAAATAAGCGTGAACATAGAATGGTTTGGGTTGGGAGGGACCTTAAAGCTCATCCAGTCCCAACCCCCCTGCCAGCAGCAGGGACCCCTTCCTAGACCAGGTTGCTCAAAGCCTCATCCAACTTGGCCGAGAACACTTCGAGGGGGGCCCAGCCACAGCTTCTCTGGCCAACCTGCAACATCAACCTGCTCAAGCAGGTGCTAGAAAAGGGCTGTGGGAGGGTTGGTGGATCCTCCACCTCCCCCCCACGGGGATGTTTCCGTCTGACTGATATGCTCCAGCACGGTGGGCGCAGCCCCTGTCACCCCACGGAAACCCTGAGCCCAGCCAGCACCCACTGTGCTCCCAGCACGTCCGGAGCGGGTCCAGCTGCGTGGGGCTGAGCGTTGCTGTCACCTCACAAGTCTGCAGGAGGATCAGACCTGTCCCCACGCAGGTGACGGGACACAGCAGCCATCACCATAAGGAGGAGTGGCAGGAGCGTGGCTGCACGGGGAGGAATTTGAGGGGTGTGTGTCCCTTCCACCAGCCCCTTCCCAAACGCTCCTCTCCCCCTGGGAACGGGCAGTGGCACTTGCCCACCCAGCATCACTCACAGATGTTTGGGATCACGGCACAAACCCAGCATTTGCCAGCACCACAGCTCAGCACCCGGCCAAGGCCAGTGCCGACGCACCTCGGGGCTCCTCCACACTTCTACTGGAGCCTGGTTTCGCTCTGACTCTGCTCAGTGACACCAGGGCGAGGAGGACGGCGCTTGGTGACACACCACGTCACAGAGAGCGAGTCCTGAGGGGAATCAGGACTCGTGCAGGTGCCTGGGGGCCCCACAGGAATCACTTCTGCTCTACAAGGGCAAACTGGGGCCGTTCCCTTCCCTCAAATGCTGACCCTGAGCTTGCTGGGGAGACAAGGAAAGCTGGGGGCAGCCCCAGGGCTGGTTTCCTTGGACCATTCAGCCATTAACCCAAACTAAAGACCGATGCCATCGTTAACCAGAACCAGAGCGATGCCATCGTTAACCAGAACCAGAGCGATGCCATCGTTAACCAGAACCAGAGCGATGCCATCGTTAACCAGAACCAGACTGATGCCATCGTTAACCAGAACTAAAGCCCAATGCCATCATTCCGCACTCAGAGGGGCAGCCCGCGTTATCTTCCCATCTCAGCGCGTATCAGCACTCCACTGAGTAACTACTCAGCGTTCCACTAACCACAGCCACCTCGGCAGCCCCGTGTGGGAGCCCCAGGGCTGCAGCCTGGTCCCAGGTTTCATCACGAATTCCTGATTTACAGACCCCAGCAGCTCCAGCCCTGCTCCCTGCGCTCGCTCCGCTCATCAGCCGGCCTTTGTCACTCACTTCCCAGCTCCGAGCACTGGGATCATCTCTGCTTTCCCGGCTCCAAGGAATGAGCTTTGGCCTGGGAGAGCAGCAGGGCACAGCGCAGCAGAGCTCCTTCCACTATTAAGTCTCAATAAACTCACATAAAAGTCCAATAAACTTTTAAGCACAAGAGGCTAATGCTAAAAGCCAGTTTCCTGAGCCGCCTCGGTGCTGCCTCACTGTTTAGGTGTAATCAGCAAGAAATAAACCAAGCGAGACCGATGAAGCAGCTGCCTCGAGCATGTTCAAAGAGAACGGTCCAGACAAATGTGTTTTGTACCAAAATAACCAAACCAGGAGCAGAATAAATCGGGCTCACAACAAATACCAATGGTTTTTCCCCTCCGTTTTCCCAGACGAGGCGATTTGCAAAGCTCCTCTGAGCTCAGAGACCTGCCCTGAGCAGGACATAGGGGCACGGCCCCCCGGGTTTCCTGCCTCCCACGCCAGCACGACTGGGGCTCAGCCCAGGAGGGAGGGTGCTCGGGGTAGCGCTGTGGGACAGGGTCTGCTGCACCGGTGGGATCCCCCAGCACAAGGAGGGGGCACACAGAAGGGCCTGATCCTGGCACCACCACCGTGCAGGTCTCCAACCCAACTGCCAGGCACACGCTCAGTGAGCACCACACAGCAGATCAACGTTCTTCATAAAAATATAGATACATTTTAATAAACAACGGGGTTGAAATTCCACAACACGCGACTGATCAACAACGGGGTCACCGCTCGTCAGCTCCAGACAGGGCAGGGAACTTCCTTCTACCTTGAAATCGTGACTCTGCCCAAGCAGCGGTGGGAAAACGATGCCATCCAGGCCAGATACAGTGAAAACCTCCCTCCTTCCTTTCAAAAACCTGGCAGCGTTGCTCACACCGAGCTGCTCAGAGCAGCAGTGGTTGATTGCTCACCTCAGCTGGGAAGCAGGGGTAGGTGGCTGAGGCCCAGCCTGGCGGGAAGTGAGGAGTGGGAGAGTAATCTGAAGAGTGTCTTCAAGGATTCGGTAGCGGCGTGAGAAAGAACCCGGTGGTGACACACATTCGGCGATCTGAGGAGCTTCCTGTGCAAACAATGAGTGGTGTTTTACTCCACGTAACCTCATTCATTTCTGTTGAACCCTGAGGAACGTTTTCATCAGCCATGATGCGTGTGTAACTCGGTCATTTCCCCCCAGGAAAAGGCAGCAGGAGAGATGGAGTTACCAAGAGAGTGACGGTAACTGAGGTGGGGAGTTGGCTGGAGCTTTTCCAAGCAGCCTCGCTCACAGAAGGATTGTTCCTCACGCTGTGACAAAGCTGTATTCATCAGGGAAGAACCAACATCCACCTGCTCACTGTATGTGCCTTGTGATGGGGAACTGGTTATTGGAAAAGATCTTAAATCTATTTTATAACTACACACATCACACCAGGGAGCAAAACAGTTCTCCTTACCCCCAACAATAAGCAGGATTTAGCGCTTCTACAGCACTTCAGAGACTCAAACACCGTGCAGACTGATTTATCCTTCTTCAGACATACCCTTACTGGGAAAAATCAATATCATTTTATTTTTTATACCTTAAAATTCAAGGAGGGAGAAAGTATGAGTCAAAAGAGCGAGCCCAGATCAGAGGGAGGGATGAAATTCAGTATTTCTTGACCCTCAACACTCCACCTTGGTCTGTGTGCCCCAACCTTCCCTGAGGGAAACAGAGGGATCACCACAGACACTGGCACAGCAATGCTGAAGAAGTACAAAAGCAACGTAGATGTCAAACCACACACTGGATGGAAAAAGTCCATCAGAAGACACCTAACCCTACATTATACAAAAATACTTGGCAAAGAATAAACATTCACTCAGCAAAACTGTTATCAAATTCATATCTCCAGCACAGTGACTAATAATACAGCTGCGGAGCAATGATTAGATTAAAAGAACTATTTTAAAAACCAGCTTCAAAGTAATGGTAAATACTCATTTTGCAAAAACAGCACATTTCACTCTGAGGGATATCCCCGTGGCAGACCAGACAGTGTGATCAAGCTGGCAGCTCCCACACGCTCGTGTACACAGATTCTCACGGCGTCTGCTGCCAGGACAGGGTGACTCCTGCTCCGAGCCCAATGCTGGCCACAGGGCCGCAGGGCTGGTGGCCAACTGGATGGCACAGCCACGAGCAGGAGCAAGGCAGGGGCACAACAAACAGCGCAGTTTCATCCTCCTCCCATCAGAAAGGAGGACTTTCCATCAATGAAAAATCAGGATTTCCCCAGCCTGCATGGAGGAGCCAAGCGATGATCTCACCGGGGATCCCAAAAACGTGTACTGCTAAAAAACCCCAAGACCAAAAATAAGTCTTGGTTCTTATTTTGCTATTACTAAGATACATGTGGGAGTGACTTTAAAGAAAGTGAACAGAGGGGTAAGAAAAATGAAAGTGTGGTGGGGCCACAGGCTCTTTGAGACTTAGGGGAAAATCTTTAACGAGGAATTAATAATCCCTCCCAGACGCCCAGTGTCCTTGTTTCAGTGATGAGCCATTTGAAGACCATCAGGACTCAAAAAACTTCCTCCTGTACCCTTCTGCCTGCAAAGCAGGGACAGTGGCAGCAGGGCATAAAAACCTTCAGCGCTGAGTCAAAGCACACAGTATGAAAACAAAAGCATGTTAAAAAATAAAACCATCTTAAATGGCTCTTAATTTTCACAAAAATAAAGTTCATGTAAAAATCAGTCTCTGCTCCTGGTATCGTATACAGTCCCACTCACCACAGCAGCCGGGCACAGATGCTACAGAACACTGAATTATTTGTAAAAAGAAAAAATAAAAAATATAAAATTTAAGAAGGTGTCAGCTCCCCGTGACACTCACTTAAAAACTGGCATAAAAAAAAACTCAATAAATTTCTTTATACTCATTAAAAACCAAACCAAGCCTCTCCTCTGATCCTTTGACCTTGGAAAAACCGGTCCTTTTATTTGAGCACGACTCTGTGCTCTCCTCGTGCTATGTGTGAGGAAAATTCATATCGGTCGTGGCTTCTGTACCCGCAGACGTTGCACTCGAAGGGGTCGCGGAAGCCGTGGCAGCCCATGTGGATGGTGAACATCACGTAATCCAAGAAGAGGACGCGGCAATGGTCGCATCGGTAGACCCCAATGGCTTCCCCTTCCTTGTTGATGACCTTGAAGGCGTCCCGTGGGCAGATGGCAGGTGGCTTGATTATGTCATACGGCCTTGGGAAATCCTTCAAGGACTGGATGCCGTTGTGGGCTTGAGCGGGGATCATCTGGCTTTGCTGGAAGGTGGGATTCTGCCGCTCCTCGTGGTTGCTGTCAGTGTCTGTGGAGTCTTGGCCGCTGTTGTTTGGGGAAAGGCCTCTGTCAGAAGACAAGCTTTTGTCCCTGAGGTGGCCGTGGCTCTTCTCTGCATCCTGCAAGTTGCCGTTGGGCACCTCGGCGCGGGTCAGGGGGATGGGGTACAGGCTGCTTATGACGGGGACCATCTCGGAGGTGGGAACCGGCGGCGTCTGCACGAGAGGGCGCAAGGCTTCAGCCCCGAGGTAGGTGATGGCGTTATTGATGGCCTGGTCCATCATGCGTCCTTGCATTATGTCACTTTCCTTTTCATACATGAAACTTGAATTATAATTGACATCAAAACTATGTCGCTTCTCACCTGCAAGAGAGGAGAGGTATTAAATCACCTGGGTGGGTGAAGAAGTATTTCAACTCTGCAATGTCTCTTCTAAAGGGTAGTAGCCTCTGGGAAGTAGAGAGGCATGAAATGTTCTCTGCAGAAAGAGGCTGTTCATATACACAAGCTGCTTTTGGGTGGGGTTTTGGGTTTTTTTAGGAGTTTTGTTATTTATTTTTTTAAGTCCAGCCTTGGAAGCAAAAATTTAATAGAAGAGGTGGTGAGGATCTTTATTGGACAAATCATCATTAATTTTTAAAAATTATTCTGGGATTTAAGGGGAAGAATATTATCAAAGCTTCCATAGCTTAACTTCTTTCACCATTCTTCTAGAAAAAGGTAAATTAATGAAAATATTTGTAAAAGAGCTAATTGATAATGAACCAAAATACTCCATTTTCAGTAGCAAGGCTGCAACCTTTTGTTCTTGACTTGTCCCTGGAGAAGCGTACCCCTCTCTGATAGAAAAAGTGAGGACAAGTCCCACCTGAGATCTGAGGCACTTTTCATAACTTTAACCCATCTGACAGAGGCTCCTTTCATACATCCCTGGACACTGAAGTCAATTTCCCCCCTGTCCCCTGACAACTACAACTTCCTCGGCACCACGTTTGGTTTCTTTGAACAAAACATGGGTTTTCAGGTAACAAAAACCAGGTTTTCAGCTAATTTAACACTGGCAGCTCTGTGGATGTGTGTAGAACAACACATTTAAGGTCACTTGATGTGAAAGAGGAGTGACATGCATTCCGTGCTGGAGCTTTGACAGCTCTTGGTTAGAGAGAAGGGGAGGAGAGTGAAGAGAAATTCTGCAAGGACCAAGGCGAGGAAGGGTGTGCTGGGCAGCACGGCTGCAACTGCTTTTCTCTATGCCAGGTGCAAGGAGAAAACAAAACTGTACCCCTAAAGGATTAAACTCAACTTTTTTGGTGAATATCTAGAAATAAGTAACCAAATTCTGTTCTTACAGAAAACATAAAATAGTTCATAGCTTAAAGAAAAAGAAAAAAAAAGAGAGCAGATCAAATGTTTCACGTGCAAGTGACTTGCAAACATCAGATCCACGAATCTTTTAGTTACGGTAACTGGAGTAGTGCAGATGTTTATCAGTCACCTGTCAACACCATGACTCAATGTATATGAAACTCCTTTAGGTTTCAGTGCAGAGGCAGAAAACCAGGAGCTCACGTTTCTTTTATAAAGCACTCGAAAAGGTTAGTGAACCACAAGAGTGTATTTGCTTCCAACCCTCAACAAAACTTGTGATCCAGCTTTAACACAGAAAGAAACAAAATGGTATAGCACATTGGTGTGACTCATAAAACCAGCACCAGGCAAGTGAACAAGTTTGAAATTAAAAATTAAATAAATAAAAAAGCAACAAAAGCAAAAATAGCTGGGACTCCCCTGTGAATTTGGGGTTAGGATTCAGTGTCATAAGGTAGGACAAAAAAAAATGCAATGTATGATCACTGGGGCTCTCGCAGTTTGCTGTTATTCTACTGTCCTGGTGGCTTTTTGAAGTCCTCACCAGAGCCCATTCTGTCTCCTTTAAATTACCAGTTATATCAAATGAAATGCAAATACCCACACGCTCTTCTGACATCCATTAATGTCTCAGTCTGTACGCTTTTAAAAGGTCACGGTACATCAGAAGTGGGCTCCTTATACGAGAGGGCAAGAAATCAGGCTGTAAACCAGACTGTGACATTTCAAAGATGCTTTGGGAGGAGAAGGCATTACCTAAGGAATGGTCTCTCTCTCTCCTCGCTGCCTCAGTGGACACCCCGAGGCAAGCACACGTCTGATTTCCATTCAGCCTGTATTTAGTTAGGCTGGATCTGCATGAAAGTGCCACATAAAGTGCTAATCATTTACCCAGAGCATCAAACTACGGCACCATGTCGCAATCAAGCGGATGGGGGGGCACTCTTGGTTGGTTGTTTCCCCTCAGTGAAATACAGCAAAGCTCTCCATGAAAGGAGACAAAAAACCAGAGCAGTGCTTTGCTCCAAAACAACAGCGATCAAGTCAGGAGAAAGAGGATATCAGTGATTTGGAAAAGGGAAAGGAGTATACGGGGACTGGGGGGTGAGGAAGTGGACTGTGCCGAAAGCACTTGGTGTTTTAGCTTTGGATAGGACAATGGAATAGATTGTTCTGAGTTAAGCTGCTAACTGCACCAGGCAAAGTGCCACAGTTGTTAAAAAAACCCCACTGCATTAAAAATTAAAGGTACAGGTTCTCAAGTGTTCATTTACAGAGCAGCCGCTGGGCAGCAGAACATCTTTCATAGAATCACAGAATCCCAGACTGGTTTGGGTTGGAAGGGACCTTAAAGCTCATCCAGTCCCAACCCCCCTGCCAGCAGCAGGGACACCTTCCACTAGACCAGGTTGCTCAAAGCCTCATCCAGCCTGGCCGAGAACACTTCCAGGGAGGAGCAGCCACAGCTTCTCTGGCCAACCTGGGACACTGTCTCACCACCCTCACAGCGAAGAACTTCTTCCTAATATCTCATCTAAACCTCCCCTCTTTCAGCTTAAACCCATTTCCCCTTGTTTTGTCATTAACTGCCCTTATGAAAAGTCCTTCCCCTTTCCTTTTTTTTTTTCTTTCTTCTTTTTGTTTGTCTCAGTGCAATGCAAAAGCTTTCCCCTTTAAAATTCACACATGAGCCGTAGCGTATGACACATCCTCATGTGCTGCTCAGTGATGCTTCACTTACTCTAACACGTACGTAGATCTTTGCAGCCTGATGATGAGGTGTGGACGCTGGAAACAGGGAGTGAAGCTGCTTCCTGCCGCCGCGCTAACCAAAGCGGGCAGATTCTCATTAGCCTTGGCACGTGGGGGGGATAATGGTGTTTGTTACTGGCTCAGAACTGCACCAGCACTTTTACCACTATGAGAAATATGTATTTTTTTACTTCTGGTCTCAGGGAGAACTTGTTTTTAAGAAGGAAGAAATAGAAATCTGCGGGCTGAGATGCTCAGAAATGCACTGACTGCAGCGGTTACTTCGACTTGTGCCAGGTGAAGATACAGCCCCACGAGTGTTCCACGCAGCAGTGAGGTACCACCAGCACATCTATCTGTACTGCTGGGCTATTTTTATTTGTTTGTGGTGGATTTTTTTAAAAATATCTGTTTATTAATCAAACCAGGAAGTACAAAAAGCCAGGGTTTGTAGATTTGGTCTGTACACAGACAAAATAGAAATCCACAGCAAAATAGGAAACACAAAATCATAAACTTCCATCTTCCATTCAAATCTTTGTTCCCTCCTAACTGAAGGGAAAACTGAGGGCAAGATCTTTGCAGGAGAAGCCTCTGAAGGGGGGGCCTAGTACAGAGGTTAAGAGTCAAGTATACGCTCTGCTGATCTACGTCCTTATTTAAGACTTACACTTGTACACAGGAGGCAGCTGCTGAAGATGAAAATGTGAAAAAATAAAGCAGGCAAGACTCCTGGTGCTTGAAGAACCTCTATAGAGCCCTCAAATAATAATAGAAGGGTTTTTTTTTTTCCTGATCAATGGACTTCATTCACAGAAATGAGCCAAACAAAGATGCTTTGTTAGGATACATCTCTATCCCTTCTCCCTGACAAAATGAAAAATCAGCGCCAGTTCTGAGAACGCCATTTCCCAAGAAATCACAGAGCTGTCCTGGCAGATTTGCACTCCTACACACACAGCTCAGAGAGGCACAAAAGTCAAACCAAGGTCGGACAGGCTGCTCTTGCAACCAGACTTCCCAGGGCCAAAAAGGAACCGAGTGAGTAATTTTTTCACGTTACCTAACAAGAACATGCCGATCACACAGGCTCTAGTAAAACAGCAGGTTTCAGAAATGGGTTATTTTGTTCCTTGAGGTGAACTGTCCTGGGTCCTCCAACTTCTCCACAAAACCCCTTGCATGATGCAGGATTGGCTCATGCCATCTGCAGACCACGTTACTGAGCTCAATCACAGATCCAAGGATCTATTCCATGTGGTACTTAACCTGAAGCGTGTGCTGAGCCGTTGTGTCCTGCTGCAAATGTGTTTAATAATAAAATATCTAAAGATTGAACTGGTAGCACGTTGTAAAACAAGACAGGGTGAAGCTGATGTGCTCAGTGATTAAAAAAGAAAAGGAAGCTAAAGATTTTCAGACACATTTGCATCAGTATTACTGTTTGAATCACAGCATGGCCTGTAAGGTCTAAATCACGCTGACAACAGTTTCAGTATGAAGTACCCAAAGGCACGTCGATGGAGTGTGCTGGTGTTACTTCACTCCAGTAGAAAAAAAAGTGACTTTTTAAAAGCCATACTAAATAAAAGTTACCAGTTTTCATAGATGAAAGGCCAGTGCCTCCCACCAAATCCAGTAAGAGCTCCATCACCTTCAAAAAATAAGGTTTTTTAATGCATATATGGGTTTAGGAGCACATCTTTACCTAGGTTTGGCCCTTAGCCCCAGATGTTCAAGACACATCCTCAGCACATCCCTCTGCCAGCTGGGTTTGTCCAACAGCACCGATCCCTGCCCTCCCTCTCTGCCCCACGCTTCTCCCCTCCCCAGTCTGTGAACACCAGCTCCTGGTGTGAACTGTGAACACTGTGATATGAAGAAAAAACAAGCACTCGAGTCTGTATATAACCATACAGAATACAACAAACAAGGCATTACTAGTCCTAGTGTCATCCAACTGCTGACCAAGTCAGGTCTTTACACAGGACACAAGAGCTGCATTTTATTTTCTTAAAAGGCAACTTAATGAAATCAGACTAGCCAAGAGGATCAGGCACTCACTGCAACACAAAACCTGCCCGACTAGTATTTAAGATCCCCAGCATGCACAACACTGATCATATAAAATTAAATGCAAAGAAAATACTATGGAAACATCTTGTTGCTTAAATTACCACAAGAAAGGATTTGATTTTTTTTTTTTAATCATAT